TCACAACTAACTTTTATTATATAAAATCAATATAAAAAAGTGAATTCTAATATTACAACTAACTTTTATTATATAAAATCAATATAAAAAAGTGAATCCTAATATCGCAACTCACTTTTATATATAAAATCAATATAAAAGGTGAATTATAATACCTTCACTTATATTATATAAAATCATATTTTCAGGTCAACAGGTCATTCAGATTATATTGATGTTAAAATCTAAACTAAATAGCAATTGCTAAACCTGACCTGATAAATTCAGGTTAACCTGTTAGGTACCTGAATTTGGTCAATCTGTTCAGAACTCTAAATTCCAGTACTAGATATCTTCTTGGATACATCTTCATAGAACTCTAAGAACAACTATTTTTGTATTGACGTCTATGATACTATTCACTTAAAAAAATGGAGAAATTTTAAGAACTACAGGAAAATTCTAAAGTAAAGAATGGTTCAGTAATATGGCAGTAACTTTTGCAAAAGATTAAGAACAATACTATTCAAACTTAATATGGAAAAGTAAATAAACTTTAATTAATATCAAAGTATAATTTTTTTTTACCTTAGCATCTTTAACAAATAGATATTTTTAAAGATATTATTGTTGTTTAAATTTTTTTGAAAGTCACTCAAAAAGTCATATAAACTTGCTCTCGTTCACTGGTACAATATCAGCATTTTTGAACCAGAACTTTATAGCTATCCGCAGTTGCATTATATTAAAGAATATAACACAATTCCTATTAGTTCAATCAGCTAAAAAATTCATATTATGCAAAATTTGCTAAGAAAAATTGATTTTTATTGAATAAATATATATTTTAATAAAAAAAAATACTAGAGACTGGCGAAGTTATTATTGAATCATAATTTCTTATAAAAACTTCAGTTTAATATATGAAAAAAAAAATTTAAAAAAAAATTAAAGTTCAGTGAACTTCATTAACTTTGAAAAGTTTAAATAAACTCTAAATAAAACTTGATTTTCATATGTTCTTGCAGATTTCTGCAGATCTTTTACTAATTTGTATCTGCAGATTGCTAAGACTGCTGGTTCCTATTTAAAAATTAAAATTTTTACAATTTTAAAGATTTCATATTTAGAAAATTACAACAATCTACATCATTAAAAGTTGCTGCAGAATTTTTATTGAAGAATTACGGCAATTTGTGTTTTTACAGATTTATATCAAAATTTTAAAAAAATAATGGTGGTAATTTGCATTTACAGATTACCACCAATCTTCATTAAAAAATTGCGTAGAAATTATAAAATCGCAAACAGCAAACCTGTGCAGATCTGCATGCAAATTCTATTGTTCATTTTAAACCTGCATTTAATCATATAATATATGGAATCTTTGCAATAGAAAGGTATGAAACTCAAAAAAAATTTTAATTTTACTTTATATGCTAATTATGTTTTTTTTACTGAAATAAATGCAAATTTAATATTAATTTAATTTTTAATATTTTTTGAATTTGTACCTTTTTATTGCAAAGACCCCATATTATTATTTTAAATTACTATATATTGTTTATAATAGAAAAATTATGCTTTTTCTTTTTCTTTAATAGCATTATTAAAAAAAACTGTTCCAATATAACTTGATCGAAAAAAATAGTAAAATATATATATTACAAAATTTAATAATTCTTTTTCCAAAAGGTGATTTTAAAATATTCTGTAATAGCAAGTTAAAACAATAAGTAATATAACGAAGATTAATAATTGAAGAATAATTTTTGTAAATAATAGAACATTTAGCAGCAACATTTGCTTTATTATTAGAAATAATAGCAGAAATTTTTTAGTGTCAATTTGAAAAATAATAGCTTCTGTTTTTTTATAGGTAATATGGAATCAGGTTTTTGTGATACAATCATTGCTTGATATTGACCGTTTTTCAAATTATTAGAGATTGATTTCTAAAAATTACAAATTAATAATCTTTATATATGATAAAATAATGTATTATGTAGATAAGAACTTAACTATTTTACAGTACAGATTTTGAATATTAGTCCTTAATTTTTATTTCACATCTACGAGAATTGCTCTTTGCAAATATTCTAAAATTAAGAGTATTTAATTTAATTTATGTATAACAAATACTTAATACTAATGATTTATATTAAATTTTCATCAGCAATAACTGATGGTATAGATATGTCTGATGAACTTACTTCCTAGAATTGTTACATAATTTTCATAAATAAGAAGTCTTTCAGTTGGTCTCTTTTATTTGCTTTTACAAGTGAAATTTTAAACTTAACTAATGTAACATCAAAATTGTATATAGGAATAAAAAAATGATAAAATAGATTTATGTTGTAAATAATATAGCTGATGTATAACATAGCTGGTGCATTTATTTCTCTACTGAAATACAGTGTAAGACAAAAATAATTGAACTCTGAATTTTTCTCATTGTACTACCAATATTATGTCAAATTTAGTTTGTTTAGAACTAGTAGTTTATTCAACATAAATTAAGGTACTGTATATCACGGGCCATAATACCCCCCTATGTATAGTACCTCTCTTAAAAAATTTCATAGAATTGTATAGTACCCAGAGGGAATATTTTACAATTATCTCATGATCTGGTGATCAGATTTGAGCCATCTTTCACAGGTCGAAAAGTGAAAAATCAGGCACCAATCGGTCACCAATCAGGTAGCTGATTGGTGACTGATTGGTGACCGATTGATGCCTGATTGGCATTTTCGCCAAATACCGTCACCAATCAGGCAGTTTGCTAACTTTTGATCCAGTGATCAGAAAAGGATGAAATATAGCTCATTGGAATCG